CACATCAAATCTTTTACACAAAACAATATATATATATACACGTGAAACTTTACATTTCAAAAAATTGTTATATATTCTCGTTAATCATAACAAAGAATAATAAGAATATAGAAATATCATTATAATTCATGTATGATACTTACTCAAAGTTACTTTATTTTAGATACTAAATTTCATAGAATTTGCAGTAGTTTAAATTATTTTCTGTAAGACAAAATAATATAATATTTTATTTTTTAAAAGCCAAAAAATTGTCCTTCCAATAAACAATTAGTGAAAATACAATCCTTAAAAAATATTTCAAACACTTCAAATAGAAAGTTAAAGTTGACATATTTTCTTTTATTTTGCAATTGTTATAAGGGAGAAATCTTATGAAATCAAAAGTTGAATTCATGATTTGAAAGTTTCGTCCTTAATGCTTGGAGCATTTATGTAATACCTCATAACTTTTAAGTAAAGTTTTGAACCTTTCTCCTGTCACGACCTAGACCATCGTGATTGACACCCACGCTAACCCTCCGGTGGGAGAATCATTACTACAACCCACCTAACCATAAAACTACACAACTAAATCAAACTATGGCATTTAAAGTTACGGAAGCAAGTTTAAATGCTAAGGAAAGAAATAAGGAGTTCCCATAAACTCCAAACAAAAGTCTAACAACCAATACAAATGTGGAATCATACACTTTATAAGTCATTATAAATTTTTAAAATGATACAACAAAATTTGTGTCTTCTTTTATCCAATCTCTCGATATTTGAGTTTGATATGATACATTATGAAACAATAGGTAATAATCATTCAAACAATGTATAATTTATGAATATTGTATGCACTCATTCCCAACAACATCTATCTAATTTTGCGGCAAGAAATCAGTTAAGTGAAACTTATCCCTATCTCTTTTGCATGGAATTTTTATTTTTGCATTAATTTGTATAAGCTACTGAATTTTTTCATTGATGCTTGTTCTTTTTATCCGTAAACAACTGCATATTGTACAATTTATATTACTTTCACATCAAATTTCTTACATCTATGATTTTTACACTTAAAAGATATATACACATAAAGTTTTTGACATACCCCAAAACCAGATGTGATGGCACGTGCCCAAACCCCACCGGACACGTCAGACTAACACCCAAAAAACCCGACGATACAGAATTTATAAAACAGGAATAAGATAGAAAGATAAGCGAAAGTCTTTAAATAAACTCAACATAACCCCAGAATTGGTTGTCACATGTACAAACCTCTAGTACAGAATCCGAATAAAATATACAAGTCTCAGGTGAAGGCTCTCTACCTCGGCCTCGGGCAGGTGCCGCTCCTTTGGCACGACCTCGACCACGTCCTCGGCCTTTAGCCCGACCTTTACCCCTAGCTAGGGCCTCAACTCTGACCTCGGGGGCTGCATCCCCCTAACTCCGGTAGCTTTAGTCCTCGGCATCTGCCAAAAACAACACGCGATACTCAGCACCCACGATAACAACCTCGCACGATAAGAACAGAATGAAAAAAAATCTTTCCTAACAGTCTTCATAGCCTTTCAAAGATAAGTACAGACATCTCCGTACCGATCCTCGAGACTCTACTAAGACTTGGTTTGTACATGTGAGACCTTCGAACCTGGGCTCTTATACCATTTGACACACCCCAAAACCAGATGTGATGGCACGTGCCCAAACCCAACCGGACACGTCAGCCTAACACCCAAAAAACCCGACGATACAGAATTTATAAAACAGGAATAAGATAGAAAGATAAGCGGAAGTCTTTAAATAAACTCAACATAACCCCAGAATTGGTTGTCACATGTACAAACCTCTAATACAGAATCTGAATAAAATATACAAGTCTCATAGTAAAGTTCTAGAATAGAACAGAACAGTAAATATAGATAACTTGAGGGCACGTCTGGAATGAACCGCTACCTCTCAAGTAAGTCTGGAAGCTCTAATCTGAAGAAGAGTAATAAGCCGGATCTGATAGAGTTGTCAACCTACACAACTGTGTAGAAGCAAGGGTGAGTACCAAAAGCAATAGGTACTCGCAAGTAACACTAAACTAAGCAAAACTAGCAGCTACAAACAACTTCTTTCAATCCCAACCGAACCACCGAAGCTTTATTCTAATAGCGAACCAACAACCAATACTACACAATTCATAATCAACAGATATATCCAACAGTATCTCAACATCAACCTCATATCCTCATATAAGAGCAAATAGATCATATATCAACGTGAAGAGGGCAAATAGGTAAATCCACACACCACAAACAAAGATGAAGTCAAATGCGATGCAAATGCAATAATGATGTCATGTAGTTGTGATGCATGTCTGTCCTAAGATACATAATAATGATGTCATGTAGTCGTGATGCATGTCTGTCCTACGATACACATCTGTTGAAGTAATCAGTCCGCGCTGAATACTCAAATCAGAACCCATGGGGGCCACACATGGACCATGTATCACCGCCGGAACCAGATCCCATCGGCATCCAAATCGCTAGCCGGAGCTAGTCCATCTCATATATCTCTAGCCGGAGCTAGTCTCAACTGTGTCTCATATCCATCCATCCTCATATCAGTGTCTCAGAACTCATGCAACAGATAGTTCACACATGGGATGAATAATGAATATGCACATGTCATCAATCACAATCATATCACGATCACATCATAGTATTACACATCATCTGTTTCAACATCAATGTCTGTATCAATCATAGCCTACTCATGCTCTTCTATCCCCTCAATATCGGTTATCATATGACTTATTCAACAAATTCAAGTCACATATAACACATTTAGCTCGTTTTATTCCCCATCTTTCAATTTCAATCAACAAATAAAACTCATCCTCAATCCCCATTACTCCCCAACATAATTAGGAAAGTAGTCATGTGTAGTCTAAGAGTTTAACAAAGTTTAGAAGTCACTTGCCTCAAAACACTTCAACTAGTAACTCAAATTTGAGTTTTACCCTTCCGAGCACGCTCCAAATCACCACAATCTATTCATAAATGGAATCCCACAATCAATACGAATCTAACAACACCAATATCGTGAAAGTTGAAGAAAAAGGGTAAAATGGTCAAAAATCTCGCTCTGGAAAATATTCTCGAAATCTGGAAATTTTTAGTGAAAAATGTTCCCCAAGAAATTTAGAATCCAATAGTGAAAACCGTTTCGAAAAAAGAGTTGAAATGAGTCCACAAACTCAAATTTTCTATTAAATTCGGGTTAGGCAAAACCCCCCAAATTTTACCCTTGAAATCTAAAATTTCGATGTTAAAATCCATAAATAATCGATGGAAATCAAAGATATAAGTTGGAAATAACTTACCCAATGAATTCCTTGCGAAAAACCACTTGAAATCGCCTATTTTCGAGCTCACAAAGTCTAAAAATGGAGAAATTGGTATTTTCAAGTTGTGGGAAAATAGCTACTGATTTTGACTTTTATAAAGGAAAACAAAACTGTTGTTGCAGCTGAAACACAACAATTACACCAATGTTTAAGTCCATGTTGGACCCTCGGGATTCGTTCGAAATCTCGTGCACACAAACTAAATATGTACCCCCACTAAATTTGACGTTCCGGACTCAATGGAACCGTCGGAATTTGAATTCGAGGGCTCCTTGACCCGAAATTCAATAAGATGCCAAGAAACTAGTTTAACGCCTAAAAAAAAAATTCGAAACTCAAACGGAGAGTCTAAAAATTCAAACCAAGGCTCATTCTAGACTTAGAATCGCCTCCCGAAACCAACAGTACTCTCGGAATTTCAATACTGAGCCTCGGAACCTCATATGTTGACAAAAGTCAACTCTTTATCAAAATTTCACAACTTTAGCAACTTAGGACCTCAATTCTTCGTTTCAACTCAAAATTCAACTCCGTAACTTCACACAGACCGGTTTCGACATTCTAAAACTGCCGGGATCGACGAAAATCCGATTCGAGTCTCAAAACTCCAAATGACTCGAAAAAATACTTTTTAACCAACTTTAACTCATAAACACTCAACTTCTCAAAAACTCAACTTTTTACCAACTTTTCCTCAAACCAACTTTACAACCACAAAACATGGGAATCGGGGCAACTGCCGAAAGGGCAAAATAGTCATTTTCACAAAAAATTACCAAAATGACCTTTCGGGTTATTACAGTTTTACACTTCAAATATATTCTCATTAATTATATCAAAAAATAATAAAAATATACAAATTGTGATATTTATAATTCACGTAGTAAGCAGATTCATTTATGACACAAACCAAATATGCTACTAGCTTGAAAATGACATTTCGGACTCAATGGAATCGTCAGAATTTGAATTTGAGGTCTCCTTGACCCGGTATCCGATAAGGCGTCAAGAAACTAACTTTAGGCTCAAAAACTCGAAACGCACTCGGGGCTTTTTTGACCTTTAAAACTAATAATGAACCCTTTAGTTGCCACAATTTGCTGAAATAGTGTCAAAGCATCCAAGAAGCTTAAAAGCTCACCCAAAACTCATTTGGCACTTCCCGAACACAAACCAAATATGCTACTAGCTTGAAAATGACATTTCGGACTCAATGAAATCGTCGGAATTTGAATTCGAGGTCTCCTTGACCCGGTATCCGATATGGCGTCAAGAAACTAACTTTAGGCTCAAAAACTCGAAACGCACTCGGGGCCTCTAAAAGTTCAACCAAGACTCATTCTAGACTTAGAATCACCCCCTGAATCCAACGGTGCCCTCGGAATTCCATTTCGAGCACCGGAACCTCGTTTGTTGACCAAAGTCAACTCTTGATCAAAATTTCACAATTTTTGCAACTTAGGACCTCAAATCTTCGTTTTAACTCCAAATTCGACTCCGTAAATTCTCATAGACCCGTTTCGACATTCTAAAACTGCTAGAATCGACGAAAATCCGATTCGAGTCTCGAAATTCCAAATGACTCGAAATAGCACTTTTAACCAAACTTTAACTCTTAAAAACTCAACTTTTCATCAATTTTCCTTCAAACCAACTTCGAAAGTACATTAATTAGGACTCGGGGCAACTATCGGGAGGGGTAAAACGGTCATTTTATGAAAATTTCCAAAAATGACCTTTAGGGTCATTACATTATTCACCACTAAAAATCATGTTCGTCCTCGAACATAAAGTAGAAGAAGGCAAAAATACTCGACGCTCTCAACCCCGAGGTGAAATTTCCGAACTCAATAATTACTACTCCAAACGAACCCATTCTTAAACCTTATCCCAAAAATCCCTAAAAAGGATTCCCAAATCAATCTTGACAACTTAACCCTCAAAGGGTTATTTCAAACCACCGACTAACTCAAAGACTGAATCTGAATCTAAGATCTCAAAACCACAACATATTTACCATGACAAACCCCTAATCATGTAACCACGAGAGAAATTTCGGAATCAATAACCACAGAAAAATCAAGGATGAACCTAAATCAGTCACCAAGCTCTCACAACACACGAACCCTCACCGACTCTAGAAAAAAATTCCATTCTCATTACCACATTTCCGTAAGTCTGAGTCCTACTAATCTGATGCATGCATCGAGCACCCATCTTGGAATAATCACGCTTATCTAACCCACAGATAGAAATGATCAAGTATCCAACTGATGATCGACTCATCCAAGCATATAAACCTCTAAGGATGCCACCAAAACACTGAAGTAGGATCCGTAATTGTAGACAACTCCAGCAACGGAAGAACTAGGCCCACGGGCCACCTAAGCATCGAACCACACCTAGTTGAACCTTGCATACAGGGGCAAGATAAATACCAAAATAGCCAAAAACTGTAGCCACATACGATAGCCTTTCTATACCTTTTCAAAAGCAAGATGACACTTGTAGAACTTCCGAAACCTTCCACCACCCCAATACCACATCGAACCCACTATCTCTGAATCGGCCCACCTACACAAGTATTCTATTCTGCCAAGAGAGCATGAATCGGTCCCTCCGATTCACCACTAGGCATCCACCCACAAAAGTAAAAACACGTCTGAACATAGACAGAGAATCATAATCCAAAACCATGTCTGAAATGAGGTAGGTGATCACATAAGAATATACAAAACCTAATTTGAACAACCCAAGATATCCCTTCCACGATGTCCATAACACACCTTCCCCTTCGTCTGACTTCACAATCAGCCAGTCCGGCCTCATAACAATCATAGACATACTCAATTTATCCATTTTCTCATACTCTTTACAATAATCCATTAAAGCCAACAATATCAATACTACCAGAACATCATAGTCACACCGGCCAGTTACTTTACCCTCAGACGGCCACTAGTATCCAGTCATTCTTAGAAACACATCGTTGCTTCCAAAATTTTGAATTATGGTCCTTCCTCTTTCCATTGAAGCATTCCACGATCGATATGGGTCTCACCCAATCGCTAATAATCCAAGTTCTAAATGTCATAGTACCTTTTCATTGAGATAGACTATTGAATCACGACCAATATCGATTACACGCGATCCTTTACTTACCCAACTTCAACAATTATTCAAACCATCATATATCTCATGCCGAAACTTGAAGCAGTTCTTGGTCACTCCAATAATTTCGTATACTATGAGCACACAACCTCTATTTACCATCAAGGATCTATGTAACGCGTTACAACAGTCTGGATAATTCCATAAATAGAGTTATAACCCTAGTTCAAAATCCTCAATAACCATGTAGAGCTATAAGTTCTTCCGGTTGGACACTCGTAAGCCACCTACCATAAGCTGAACAATTCAAACCAATTCAAAAACTGCAGAATTCCTCATACATCAACGTTTACCACCAACACCAATACCAAGTGTTCAGAAAGTAGCTGATAACACATCATACATTTGTGCTGAACCAGTCCACCTTGCATTGTCGTATCTAACATAAAAGCAAAAATTTACACAATCCTCAACTTCAAACTAAGGATCTACACGTGATGTCTTATTCCTTCACATCTCTTAACTTATATCCATCGCGCAAGAC